GTGTAACACACACTTGCATCATTCATTGCTGAATAACTAGTGGTGATAATTTACATTATAGTTGTATGTTTTTTATTCTTATGTGCACATAACTTTCCATTGCATGTTGCTCTCTCTGTAAGATTTTGAGGTGTTATTCTCATTGGCTGAGCTGTTGGTATCCTGTACCTGAGGAGGAGTAAAAAATTCTGTTTGTTTTCTTATATTTGTGCTAAATTATAACTGCTCAGGGTGAAACTTGCCATTCTACAGCAAGATATTTTGTTTTCCCCCATGAAATCTCATCTTTAAATAGATCTTGGTTCGTTTTTGTTTTTTTTAATTTCTTCTATAAAATTGAAGCTGCTTATTAGAAGACGTTTTGTGATCTCATGGAGGCACATTACAATTAGGTTTGAAGAATGCATCATGTAGCTTTAGGGAACGTGTTGTCTTTGTTCTTTGTGGGTGTTCTGCTCACATCTGACCAAGTCATATAGTATTTAGAAAGTTGTATTTTGCATATACTCACAATGTTATAAGAGCTTGACATAAGTTTTCAAGAGGTACACAATATACAATTCCTGATTGTTAAAATTTGTATATATAACATTTGCCAACAAAATTGCTGCTTGGTTGAGTGCCTGATTTTCATGGACGCTTTCAAGGTGGTGATGTCCAGCTCTGTCCTTGTTCCTGCTCATTTGATGTCTGTTCCTTTTGTATCCTAGACAGTCAGATAATTTGTCACCCTTTCAAGGCAAGCTGTGTATGTGAAGGCAAGTTCTTCATCAGTCTCAGTGTGTGGATACAAAGAAGCTGTCTGTCAATTCCACACTGGTCAGCCTGGCTTCAGATGGGAGATGGAGTTAGGAAAAGGCTGAAAATTGAATTTTGGCATTGTTTACTAAACCAAGTAGTGCAGTACAGAAAGAAGTGTTTCTGTGGGATGAAGTGACTGGCATTTAGGATCCAACATGGGTGCTGTAATAAATTTGGGAAATACTGCTTTTGCCTAGGTTAGTCCATGCACTAATGTTCACTTACCTTTGGAGCAGATATTCTAGTTCAGTTTAGTTCAAAGAAAATCGGGTTTGTGTATCTAGACACCATTACACAGCACTTGCAAAAGCATGTGGAGTGCAGATAACCGGGAGGCTTCAGGAGCCCCCTCTGATCTGAACTAAACCACTGTGGAGATGCACGAATTATCTCGCTGCTGGGGTTGGAAGTGCATGCAATGGAATTTGGGAGCCCAAAGAGTCTGCTTCTCATTCTACTTCTTGTAGTATTGGCAAGGGATGAAACTTCTTTCCATGTGGAAATGAGTACAAGTGGTAGAAATGAGTGCTGTGGACTGAAAGTCACAGGAAAGTTTTGATTTCTTGGTTTTTTAAATTTTTTTTTTTGTTTTGATTTTTTTTTTGGTAGAAATTCTGTGTTTTCTTTTAAAATATAAGTAGTAAAGTATTCAAGATGTTTACCAAGGGAATGTATAACCTGTGATAGCAGATGTTCAAAAGTCAGAATAAGTGTCAGATGAAGATTACTCCTGTGACTCTAACACTGCCCAGCAGTGCTCACAAACTCTTCCATATGACCTCCTTTATTTGGAAGACAAGTCAGTAGTAAACCAGAGGGTTTTTGTGAACTGGAGAAAAAATAGGGAAAAAATTAGATTGTAGTGATGACTTTAAATTTTGCTTGTATTTTGAGATACTTTGGGCCTGATTTATAGGCATGCTGGATAATCAGAATAGCAGCTGAATTTATATTTTCAAAACACAGTTCCAGTTAAAGTTCTGTTAAACGTATTGACTGAAAAACTAGACACTGAGTGCCTGAAATTGAGCAATCAAAGTTAGTGGGCATTTATTTTACCCTTTGGGCTTTCATAATTTTTGTGGTATTCATTCACCTTTAGAATAGGAATACTGATCTTATGAAATTATTGCAAAGTTTACATTTATTGTATGTAGTCTTACCATGTTACGGACAGAGCTGCATAAAATGTGGAGTTCTTATATTCAGTGTAGAATGCAGATGGTAGGCATTTAATGGGTCACAGGATGAGGGTAAAAACTGGGCAATTATCCATTTGCTGAATGAATCAGAAATACTGCTGGGGAAAATAGAATAAAGCAGCAGAAAGAATATAGTCAGAAGTAGGTGTGTATAAAAGCTAAACTCAAGTTGCATGGCTTTCAAACCTTAACTGCTTCATGGCTTGGTTTCACATATATGTATTTAAAGCTTTGGGAGCTTTACAAGTTCTGCAGAACTCTTGGTGCTTTGTAATCTGCATTTTGGTGCACTGAGACAAGGATAAGAATGGGATTGGTAAGAGTAGAGAAGAAATGCAGGGTGGTGTGTGACTATTGTGGTGATGCCTTAGATTTTCAAGTATTGTATATGTTTGTGCACTTTTTGGAAAGAGCAGTTGAAAAATACCCACTGGCAGTTTTGGATGCCTTTGTGAGGAAGGCTTTTGGAAAAGGTTTGTGCTGCTTGGGTCATTTAGTTTCGTGTTCCAAAAAACTGACATAATAAATTCACGTCCCTGGAAGTTGGCTTGTGGGGTTGTTCTTAAGGTATATTATCTTGCATTTTATTGCTATTCTTGAAATATTCTTGGGGAAGGTGTTTAGGTGTTTTTTTTTTTATGGGGTTTTGTTTGTTTGTTTCTTAATTAGTGACATACTGTTTTTCAGATACAGATTTGATCATTAGAGTAAGCAGCTAAACCAAGAGCAAGTGCCCAAGAAAGGTGCCCCCTTTTCACTCCCTACCTGCTGAATCCTTCGTCAGGTTTGCTCTTGGTGTTTTGTGTGAGGATTTTACTCATTCCTAAACCTTCAGGCTCATTCTGAATTGTGAGATTCAAGGTTGTTGTTTTTTTAGTGTCTGCTCCTATAGAGTTGGTGATACAGATCAGAAATGCTAAGCACTTTACCCTTTTCATAGTAGTAGTAGGAGCCGGATGATGACTTTTCCTTTTTCCCTGGGTCTTGCTAGCTTGCTTTTAGTGGTAATCTGAAAAAGGAGGACACTGTGTGATACCAGTTGGTAAATTATCTACATTGCAGTCAAAGCACTAATGTCTGAGCATTCAGTAAAACCAGCCATGCAGGTGTGTCCATTTCAGGACAGGTATTCATGCTCTTCCCTCTGTCTCTTTGCCTCAGCTTCACTACATATCTGTGAATGTGCAGCCTTCTCTGTCTCCCTCCCCTTCTAGTCTGTCTAGGATGTGAGTTCTTTGGGTCAGAAACATGCTTTGTGGGTTACATAGCATAATTTCTGTAAGAAATATTCATACAAATGTTGATCCTGAATTAATTTTTTTTTGTTTTCATTTTTCTTTCTTGTCCTCTTTTCTAAAACATGATCAGTTTGTTTCCCTTTCATGTGACTGTTTTGTATAAAACTTCTCCACTAAATCCATAGAATCATCTTGGGTAATAAACCTCCCTCTGTTTCATTTGCATCATTGCTTATAAAGGAGAGAAAACAGGTCAAGTTATGCCCTGAAAGGATATCTCCTCATTTATTTAGGATTTTTTGAATACTGTTAAAAGCATAATAGAAATGTGGTAGTAAGAGAACGGATGGAAAAGTGTACGTGACAGTTTAAAGAACAGTTTAATTTAGGGAGCTGCACCTATTAAAAAGCACAGCCCTCCCTTTTGACTCTCTTTCCCTGCTAGCACTTAATGCTTTAACTTGGTGTTACAGGTTTTGGAGCGGTTCAGTTGTTACAAGAATGAGAGTTCTGTAGTTGTTGTTTTAATTGCTACTTTAAAAATGCCCATGTTTGCATACTCTGACCCTTACCTATTATGGCCTGAAACTTGGCAGAAAAATGTTTAAGGAATGGACAAGGTGAATTATGGTACTGCAAGTGTGCACTGTGTTGCTGCAAACATCAATATTAGGCTTGCTGTCAGGAACATAAAAATGGTATTGTCATTGTACCCTGTGGTGTTAAGATTAAGTATGTATTTCAGCTAAGAGTCTAAAACACTGTTGTGCAGAGGACCAGTGAAGCATGCAGGATGTACAAGTTTATTTTATTGAAGTGCTCAGAACCTGAAGCAGTGGTTCCCAAGCTGTTGCTTGTGATGACTTGGGATGCCACTGTTAGACATGGAAAATTGTTAGGCAGTTTTCGGTGTGAGTAAAAAATAAAACTATGAAGTGAGAAATGTTTCTTTCTAAAAGTCTAAAAACTTTCTAAATAAAGTAATTTATCCAGCTTTTTGTAGCTTAAGCTACTTTTGGTAGTGGTTACTGTATTTGAGGAATTTCTTTCTTTATTGTTCCTTACTGTTGCATTTTTTTCAGGCCATAACCAGAACAATTCTTTTTACTCACTGGTTTAGTTTTATTCAATTCCGCTTTTGCTTTCAGCGCCCTAATGTCTTTAAATATTTAATATACAAGGAATTTTCTATCTTCTAGAATAAACGGCCTGAAGGGAGGAAGAATTTGTGAACCTATCCTACTTGAATGTACAAGAAGAAAATGCAGTGTGCAATCAAGCTGTTTATCTGATTACATAGCACTGAAATGCACTTCATTGAGCCCTGCTTCTGCACAGGCTACTGAAGTGATCTGTCAGTGATTTTTGGAGCTGATACGTAGCTTTGAGTCCTGCTCACTTAAAAAACCAAATAAAACTACGGCTCAGATCTTCACATTACTGGGAGAGTAGGGGTGATTTAATGGTTGATAGTGGTTCGGTATTCAGAAAATCTACAGCAAAAGATGTAATTTTCTTTTCTTGATTTAAGCACATAGTGCTTAATGTGTTCAATGCATCTTTTCCTCTGAGCTGCTCGGGGGAGCACTGGTTTGTGCTTTGGCCAGGGAGGAACTCGTGGGAGAAGCTCTTAGACATGTCATGGTAAAAGCCAAGGCAAAGCTACGGGTTCTGCAAATGGCTAAAAATGTGTGGATATTTCTGTTAATTTTTAATACACACTTGTGTGAGTTCTTCTTTCTTTTCTTTTTTTATGCAGGTCAACTTTGTAGTGTGCCAACTGTTTGCCTTGCTTGCGGCAATTTGGTTTCGAACATACCTTCATTCAAGCAAAACTAGCCCATTTATAAGACATGTTGTTGCAACACTCTTGGGCCTTTATCTTGCACTTTTTTGTTTTGGATGGTAAGTTGCACTTAAATTCATTTTTCAGGAACTTCTCAGTTTTTATTTCTGTGTTACAAAGAACCTTATTGCCTAATTATGTGGGGTTTTTAGCTGCTGCAAATGTACAGCAATCAGCTTAAATATTCTGATGAGGTGCACAAATTTGGAAAAGTCATCTGTTTGCAAACTGGTAACTACCATACTGGCTGCCTGTGGTTTTGGGAAGATGAAGCAGATGCAGTTTGTTTAACTTCTACAGCTTTTTTTCTGTAAACTTGCTGGAGAAGTATTCTCTTGAGGCACAGCACAGATGTGGTGACTAGGATAATTCCCCATAAAATACTCATGACATGAGATAACTCAGTGTCTTTTTCTGAATGTTGAATATAATGTGACTTTTTAAAGGAAGAGTTGCTGGAACTGTAAAGCATATCTAATGACACTCTAGTAGTATAAAACACTTGGAAAAGAGCTGGCTTTGACTTCAGACTGTTTCATGGTTTCTTTTTTAATGATTTGGGGGGAAGATGTGATTGTTTTTCAAACGCATATTTTGTGTAACTGCTGTTTGCATATCTTGATCTTTTCACAGTGCAGCAAGACAGAATGCTAGTCAAGTTAGAAAAGGGTATTCATTTAGTTTGGTTAATTTTTTTTCTTCAAAAAATAGTTTACTAAATGGCTCACATCTTCCCAAGATGATTTGAGTGCCAGTTTAATTTCATTGCATTGTAAACAAGGTGCTTACTTAGCTTCAAGTGTATAAAGGACTTATTTATGCTGACTATTATAGAGCATGACTGAACTAGGGGGAATTCATCAAGCTGTTGTGCAGGTGGGAAGCTGCACACAGTGTGTGTGTGCATCTGTCTCTGCACATGCAGAGTGTGTTGGCCTCTACACTGGCATGTTGCAGAGCTCTCCCAACATTAATTGATATATCTTGTTTTTAAACTTTAGGAAAGGAGATCAGTAACCTTTATTCTTTAGATTTACGTGCCTGATGTACTTTCATATGAAACTCTACTACTCCAATCCATTTCTTAAATTTGTGGCCATGGTATTCTGCTTTGAGAGAATAATCTGAATTTAAAAACTTCCAGGTTTAACACCACAGACAAAGAGGAGGATATGGGAGATAGAAGGTACTATGTGAGGATTTTTTTGAGAGCTGTGTAGGCTTAGAAGCACATTGTTTCCATTACTTTAGAAGCAGAAATCATAAATTGTAACTTGTAATTGGAAAGGGTTACTAATATATTCATATATGAATTTTGGGTATGGGAGATTTTGGAAAGAAACAACCTCTACTCCCAACAGACATAAATAAAAAATTGTGGAAGCATCTCACTGGCAATATGCCCAGGAAAAAAAAGGAAGATGCTTTCCTTTTAAGAGATTTATTTCTATTTTGCAGTTACTGAGCTAAAAACTATTTTAAAATTACTAAAAGAACATAATTTGAGATGTTGAAAGTACACACTCTTTAGAAATTGGTACTTCTGCCGGTGCTTTTTCCTTTTGGTTAAGTACATGTTATACAAGCAGGTTTTTTGAGGGTTTTGATTTTTTTGGTTCCCCCTTTCCAAGAAATCAAATATGCATACAGGTTACAAGTCTCTGATACATCTTCAGTGACTCTTGGTTTGTGCTCTAACATGACTTATAAACACATATAACAAGAAGGAAACTGTTACTGTTTTGTTATAGAGTGTTACTAGTGAATGTAGTAACTTGTAGATAAGATCATGCAAATTTAAGTGTGGGAAGTAGTTTGTAATCTGCACCTTTTAAAGGGCATTTAGCAGTAGTTATGTTGTCATCTTCAAGTATGTTAGTTTTCAGTCGCTTTTGTGAAACTTTTGATGATGGTAGAGGAAAGGAAGAGAAGCGATAATTCCCTTGGCATTATAGCAAATAGCATAAAAGGCCCAGAACATGTACCCTTCGTATGTAGTAAAAAATCACTGTTCTCTGTGGTATCTCAATATATCCCTTTGAATGTTTGAATCAAAGAACATATTGCTATTGTTAACAGCTCTGAAATAGAAATGTTTTCAGTGACTGTAATCCCGGTATGGTACTCCATGTCAATCCACACTTTCTTAGGCTTTGATATCTTAGTCTCCTTTCTCTATATAAGAACAAACCTCTTAAGTTTTTTTCATTTCACTAATGCCTGTCTTTGCTATACAATATTGCTAATATTTGGCAGATAAGTAAAGGAAATAAATACTTTTTAAATCAACAATTACTGTTTTAAAATGCACACTTGAATTTTAGGTAGTCCTATCCTAAGTCAGACTAGCTAGAAGTGAAGCATGAGAGCATGTACAGATTGCATCTTCTGTAAAAAGTCAAGATTTTTCAAGGTTAATTAATGTCCAAGTGACTTGTTTTGCCTCAGTTCCTCAGGTGTAGAATGAAGGATTTTAGTTGGATACAACTGGTTTTCTTTTTGAAAATCTTTGAAGTAATTTCGTTGTGAGTAGAGGAGGAGTGAAATTAGGAAATTGTTAGTGATAAGCTGAAAAAAACAGCATCACTGTAGGAAAATAATAGCTGCTTTTTTAGCCTGCTTTTCATGGGGGAAAAAAATCCCCAAATTAGATGAGTTGTGTCACTTGAGCATGTGTACATGTGGTACTGAGGCACTTAAGGTACCAGAATGAAAAAAACCCCAAGTTACTGAAGATGAGCTCTTTTCCCCATTCACTGGCTCTGCTTTGATAGCAGTGCTCTACAGCTTACTGAAGTGGAACTCCTTCAAAGGCCAAAGCAAACTCCCAAAGCAGTGGTGTTGGAATAGCTGTGGTGGTAAGCTGTGGAAAACAAGAGGAGCTTAGAGCACCTTTGTGAAATAAATCTGTGGCTTGTTGGTGTACAGGGCTTTTTTTTGGTGTGTTTTTTGTGACCATCACCACCATCCCTTTAAAAGTTACTGACAACCTGGGACTGGTTGAACACAGTCACTGTTTCTGTTGAGTGGGAAATCTTACAGTGTTGTGTCTGAAATATCTATTGCTATAAATGGGTAGAAAGATGAATATGGAAATTAAACCACAAAACTTTCATGTTGTTTACAGGTATTTACTCAGGAAATAATGCCAAATGGAAGTATTATGAGACATGTTCTTTGTATTTTAAGAAGTAGCAGCATTTGCAATATCCTAGATTGAGCTGGAGCACTCTAGCTAGGTGTCTGGTTTTTGTTCATTACTGCTCTCTGTGCTATGCTAAAGGGAGAAGTTCTCAGCAGAAGGAAGGGTAGCAGAAAACCTAAATAGACTAAAAGGGAGTTTTCCTTTGGGAGCAGTGGTGGCTTTAAACTTTGAACCTCTTTAATTTCACAATAAATGCATGCAGTTGATTGTCATTAAAGAAAATGCTATGAGGGTTTACTTTTTTTTCCCCCTAGGTATGCCTTACATTTTGTTATACAAAGTGGAATTTCCTACTATATCATGATCATAATAGGAGTGGAAAATATGCACAAGTAAGTTTCCATTTATTTTCCTTTGCCTTTACAAGAATGCTACTGTTGAGGGGGTTTTTTGTAATTGTGCATATATACCATAATCCTGGTTGTATCATAACATTTCAATATTTGAATTCTCTAACCGTGATTTTGTTTTCAGGTGAGAAGATGGCTTATTTGGGAATTTTTGCCAGATTTTTAAAATAGCTAAAGCTCATTAAAATAATACCCCACTGAGACATATTTTATGTTTACGTATTCTTATTTTTTCATCATTGCTTAATCTTAAGTATTTCTGGGTGTTGACAAATGAAAAACGTAGTTTGAAAACAGCCAGTGCTAGTATATGGAAGATGTCTGAACAGAAGGCAATTTGTATGAAAAATTTCTCTAGGAGCTAAGTGCTTATAATTCCTTTTTAAAAATATCAGTATGAATGCTATCTTAGGTTAAGAATACATTTATAAAACACATATGGCATTATTTTAAGTTTGAATGCTTGATTATATTAGCAGTAGCTGAATCCATATAGAAAAACACTTGTTTCTCTTTTTCCGTCGTTCTTAAAAGCAGGGAAGACATTTATTACTATATGCATATGTTTCACTATTCCAGTAGCCTAGAGATCAGAAACAAGTTAGGTTCCCACTGTGTTAATTCCTGCATAAATGTTTAGTAAAGTAGCAAATCCTTGCTTGAATAGGTTCCTGAAGTATGTGAGCCTGTGAGAAAAATGCTGGTAGAAAAAACAAAGAGGAAAATTGTTTTACACAGAAAGAACAAAGCCAGGGCAGCCTTAGTTCATGATCCTACCTGTTAGAATACTCTGCTGAATTTTACTGTGATAGAGAATGTAATTTTATTGTCTTTTAAAATATCCCATGTTAGGCTGTTATGTTCAGGATTTTCTTCAAAGGCTCATGTATTCAAACTACTGTGGATGTGAGAGAACCTCATTTGGTCGGATAGCTGGTTTATAGACAAACAGCTTCTTTGATTACTGGTGGTTGTAAAGCAGCTTGTTCATGTAAATTTCTCTTTAGACATTCAACACTGTAAGTTATAACTTATGTTACTTAATGTTCTAAAAGAAATTATTAATGTGGATAAATGCAGCAAAGGGAGGTGCCTCTCAGGAACACTCTGGTCTTTACCATAACAAGGTACATAGGTTTCTCAGAAATGGAAATCCAGCAGTGCTTTACATTCCTAATAGTGTGAGACAGGTAGGCAGATTTCCTGCACTGTGGCAAGGGAACACTAATTCCTGATCCTCCTAATTCATACCAGCTGGTTTAACTGCGTGGCCTGATCTGCTGAGATGTTGGCTGTGTTATACACAGCTGTTACTGCACAGCTGGGAGGGGAAACCTAGATTTGATTACAGAGCTTATATTGCTTTGTCACCATATGAATTAATCTGCCATTGGATGAAACTAAAAAGCTCTTCTTTCAGTGGAAGAAAAAAATGTACGAGTCATTTGTTACTTTAAACTGTGGACAATGTGTGGGTGCTGTATGGCAAGCTCCAGGAGCCACTTCTAGTAGGTGATACAGGCAAGACTACACAAGGTTTGCTCCTTCCACTGCTGGAGTATCTCAGAAATGATGATGCCTGTACCTAAGGAATGCACCAGGTACACTTAATTTTCTGTCAGGAAAATGCCACTTACAGCTTTCTATTTCTGAATAGAAACCAATGTGAATTACTCCTCTCCCTACCTAAGTGTTTGTCCTCAGGCTGTGAATGTGTCTCATGGTGCCCAGGGGAGACTGAAGGTTAAGTACTGTACAGCAGAGTGCAGCTGGTACCAGCTGGCCTCAGGACTGGAGAGTGTCCATGCTTTAGTGGGGATGTGTGTACAACTGATCATAGCCCCAGGTTTGGGATTTAGTTTTTGTATGATAGAGGGGCCCATTGGCTGGCAGTCCTGTTTAGAGGTTACCTGCATTGTTCAATGAGCATCTTAACCTCTGAATTAAACTTCAAATACCTGTCTGTGATGTAATTATGGATTCAAGTGGATTGGAAAAACACTTGTGTATTGTAGAAATCATATTTGTCTATTATCTAAATTTATTCACTGACCTAAGTTTCCTTCTTTTCCCTGCCCTGCTGGCTGTCCTGCAGATTTGATGAATGTACGGATAGGAAAAACATTATTCCTCTCCCTGCTGCTTTCCTTACCTGCTAACACAGATCCTCAGGGTCTCCAGCCTCTCTAAAAATTGCTTAAACAAGTAAGAGACAACTGCATTTTTTTAAATGCTATCAGTTCAGTTGCTGTGCACTGGTTATACAGGCTTCCTTTCCCTCTGAAACAAGGAGAGATTTTTGATAAATTTTTGCATTCTCCAACGCACTTTAACATGTCATGGTAGCTGTTATGTCTGCTATTCTGTGGTTCTGTTTGTTTTGATGGACATCCAGTTCTTTGTACTGTTCCTATGCCCATGTATGCGAGCTGTTTGAGCATGCTACTGTAAAGAGATATTTGAATTTAAGTAAAGAAATTGGTTGTAAGTGGTCTGGTATCTGTGGAGGTGCTTCCTGGCCATACCTTTCTTGGAATTTTGGAATGTTACTCTTCAGTAAGTTCCCTGACTCTCCAAGCTAGAGCCAGGACTGAGGGGGAGGCTCCCCTTTGCCTTCACTCCTTTCTGTGGGGTTGACAAACAATAGGAGATGTGGCAAAAGAGATGTGGTGGAGATTTGATTGTTTTATCTTAAAAACCTCAGATTAGAGCCAAATAAATCTTGACCATCTGAGTAAACTGATTCCTTTGGCTCGTTAATTGTGGCAATTAATTTGCCAGTCGGGGGTTTAATGATGCTGAATGTTGTGATTTTTCTGATGCTTAACTAGAAATCAGACTTGTATTCTGAAGATTGTGGATGGAAACACTGAATAGCACCAGGCAGTGATTTTCTGTATGTTGGAGATTTGATGATAACAAAAATAACCATGTAAATGGATTGTAAATGGTCTATCTTCAATTGAAAAATAAGCACTTGTTGAGGTTAAGAGCTGTGAAGGAATTTCCTAGTGATCCTTGTGAATTTCTTCTAGAAGTATTTGCTTTAAGTAGCTATTACAAGTTCATCCACTTTGATAACTTCCTGTAACACTCCAGGTTAAGCCTGAATATAACTCAATGCATGAGTTCAAACAGTGAATATATAAGTTGAAAAAAAAAACTTGATATATTATCCTTCCTAAAATTGGAGTGTTTGAATGGAAAGGCCTTTAATGAGTGTGTATTTTGCAATGACAGGAATGGAGTGAAAAGAGAACTACAATTTCCTTACCTGTAGTGCCTATCACTTTTTGTACTTTTAAATAAAGATTAAATACACTTATTTAATCTTGGGGGAGGTATGTGTGTCCCTATGGAGGTATAGGGAGAAAGAAGGATAGGAATCATCTAGTATCTGCAGATTTGTAAAGGTTGGTACTTAAGTAGAGAGGCTGAAAAAGATAATGCATGGGCATTTTTAAAGTGTTGTAGCCTTCTCAGTTGGTTTGGTACAAAAAAGACATATGCTGCCTTAATGCAACTAGGAAAAAATCTGATTATACGCTTTGTATTTCCAGAGAGAAGAGTCTAAATTAGTCTTTTTCTTAATCCCCACCTCCTTTTTAAAGTTTATTGCATTTTATGTTTGATTTCTGATGTTACTCAAAAGAACAGAGTTCTCAAAAGAACAGGGTTTTTAAATAGTGCCATTGACGTATAAAACCTCTTTTACCACTCTTGCAAACTCAGGTGAAAAAATAAATTTGGACTTCTGTTGTAGGAAGTAGCTGTGTTTCATTGAGTACTGATGTTTACCTGAAGGAGGGTTCCCCTACTCTGTACACTGTGTGCTTCTGCAAGCACGTGGAGGACAGCCCTGGCTTGGAAGGAACAGTAGTGTAAAATTGCCTGGGTGTGTTAGAAATCTGTTGGGATGGAGTAGCTTTGGCTTGCATATAGATTTTTTTTAAATCTTTGTGCACAGTAGTGTAAAATTGCCTGGGTGTGTTAGAAATCTCTTGGGATGGAGTAGCTTTTTGGCTTGCATATGGACTTTTTTAAAAATCTTTGTGTTTGAAGTGAAGCTGAGCACAATCAGTCAATCAAAACAAAGTTGATAAAGTTGTGGTTTGGGGCTCTGTATTTGTTTGGTAATCTCTGTAGCATCTATACAGATACTTCTTCAAGGCACGTTACTCTGCCTGTCATGCTGCCAAGCAACTTGACTGTTAGCAAATGAGCTCTGAGTCATGGTATCATTGCTGCATGGTTTATGACCTCAACAAACTATTGGTGTCAAATAAATCAGGCTCCCTACAAAATGAAGTGGCAGAATAAATTGTACCTAGAAGAGTTCAGTGAAAGCTATGTTCTTCTTCAGCTCCTGGCAAAGACAGCCACTATTAAGAGTTGATTAAAAATTCTGGTTGCATGGCATTGACTGAATTGAGACAGTGGTGTTTGGAATAAAGAGATTATGTGCAAGGGTACCATATATATATTACAGTAAATTTTCTTCTCTAAGAGCATAATTATCCATGTTTTTTCATTCTTCGGTGAAATTTCTTGCATTTGAGACAAATTTCACTTGACTAATTATGACAAGCTCAGCAAACAATAATTTCATTGTTCTTAATGAAACTTCTGGCTGTAAGTTAGGCAAGTCAGTTTTGCCTGCAGAACTGCAGGTGATGGTGTATGGAGTGTCTGAGTTGGAGCTAAAAGATCATGACACCTGATACCAATGCAGTGCAAACCAAAAAATTCTGTTTGTGGGCTGTTGTTTTTTCTTCCTGTAAGGGAGTTTGGATGTAAATCAAAAGCATTGCTATTTAAGAAATACAAACATCTTAATTTTAAAATCCAGTGTCTCAATGAAAGATGTTAAGTTTCATATGGCTTTTAAAGCTGATCAGTTTTGCAGATCAAATGTCTTTACTGGAAGTTAAAGATAAGGTAACAGAATCATGGAATAGCTGTGGAAGTGTTTCTGACTCCCA